CCGAAGGACGACCGCCAGCTCGAGTCGCAGCGCCACGTGGCACGAACCGCAGAGCAAGGGCACGCGAGCATTGCTCGTGGTCAGAATCTGAGTCCCCGTGGTGCCTCACTCCGCTGGCCACCCACCAGCAGCCCTCGAAAGTGGCGACAGTTTCACAGATCGCAGCCGCCCAGGGGTGGCGAGGTCTAATCTGAGTCCCCGTGGTGCCTCACTCCGCTGGACCCACCAGCAGCCTCGAAAGTGGCGACAGTTTCACACAGGGATGGCGAGGTCTAATCTGAGTCCCCGTGGTGCCTCACTCCGCTGGACCCACCAGCAACCCTCGGAAGTGGCGACAGTTTCACAGATCGCAGCCCCCCAGAGATGGCGAGGTCTAATCTGAGTCCCCGTGGTGCCTCACTCCGCTGGACCCACCAGCAGCCCTCGAAAGTGGCGACAGTTTCACAGATCGCAGCCCCCCAGAGATGGCGAGGTCTAATCTGAGTCCCCGTGGTGCCTCACTCCGCTGGACCCACCAGCAGCCCTCGAAAGTGGTGACAGTTTCACAGATCGCAGCCCCCCCCCCAGAGATGGCGAGGTCTAATATGAGTCCCCGTGGTGCCTCACTCCGCTGGACCCACCAGCAGCCCTCGAAAGTGGCGACAGTTTCACAGATCGCAGCCCCCCCAGAGATGGCGAGGTCTAATCTGAGTCCCCGTGGTGCCTCACTCCGCTGGACCCACCAGCAGCCCTCGAAAGTGGCGACAGTTTCACATATCGCAGCGCCCCAGAGAGACGATGAGGGGAGAGAGGAGGCGGGAAGGAAGGAAGGAAGGAAGGAAGGAAGGAAGGAAGGAAGGAAGGAAGGAAGGAAGGAAGGAAGGAAGGTGGAGGCCGCAGTGCTCTATTCAAAACGAGTACCCAACGCAGGCGGAGACCGCAGTGCTAGGCCCCTCAGCAGCCCTCGAAAGTGGCGACAGTTTCGCAGATCGCAGCCCCACACAGGGATGACCAGGTAGGAGGCAAGCTGGCACGCAGCGGCGAGCGAGGTACGATGCAGGAGGGGAGAGTAGAGGAGGAGGGGAGAAGGGAGGAGAGCGGAGAGGGGGCGGGAGAAGGAGGAGGAAGAGGAGACGCGACAGCACTGCTCTATTCAAAACGAGAACCCAACAGCCCCCCAGGGATGGCGAGGTCTAATCTGAATCTGCGGTGAGTACCCACTGTGCTGGGCCCCTCAGCAGCCCTCGAAATTGGCGACAATTCCGCAAATCGCAGCCCCCCAGGGATGGCGAGGTCTAATCTGAATCTGCGGTGAGTACCCACTGTGCTGGGCCCCTCAGCAGCCCTCGAAAGTGGCGACAATTCCACAAATCGCAGCCCCCCAAGGATTGCGAGGTCTAATCTGAGTCTGCGGTGAGTACCCACTGTGCTGGGCCCCTCAGCAGCCTTCGAGCTTCACAGATCGCAGCCCCCCAGGGATGGCGAGGTCTAATCTGAATCTGCGGTGACTACCCACTGTGCTGGGCCCCTCAGCAACCCTCGAACGTGGCGACAATTTCACAGATCGCAGCCCCCCAAGGATGGCGAGGTCTAATCTGGATCTGCGGTGAGTACCCAGTGTGCTGGACCCCTCAGCAGCCCTCGAAATTGGCGACAGTTTCGCAGATCGCAGCCCCCCAGGGATGGCGAGGTCTAATTTGAGTCTGCGGTGAGTACCCACTGCGCTGGGCTCCTCAGCAGCCCTCGAAAGTGGCGACAATTCCACAAATCGCAGCCCCCCAAGGATGGCGAGGTCTAATCTGAGTCTGCGGTGAGTACCCACTGTGCTGGGCCCCTCAGCAGCCCTCGAAAGTGGCGACAGCTTCGCAGATCGCAGCCCCACAGGGATGGCGAGGTCTAGTTTGAGTCTGCGGTGAGTACCCACTGTGCTGTGCCCCTCAGCAGCCCTCGAAAGTGGCGACAGTTTCACAGATCGCAACCCCCCAGGGATGGCGAGGTCTAATCTGAGTCTGCGGTGAGTACCCACTGTGCTGGACCCCTCACCAGCCCTCGAAAGTGGCGACAGTTTCACGGATCGCAGCCCCCCAGCGACGGCGAGGTCTAATCTGAAGCCCCGTAAGACGTCATTCTGCTCGCCCCACAGCAGCCCTCGAAAGTGGCGACAGTTTCACAGATCGCAGCCACCCAGGGATGGCGAGGTGGAGGGAAGAGAGGAGCAAGGGAGGAGAGGAGGAGGGAAGATAGGAGAAGGGAAGCAAGAGAGGGGAGAGGAGGAGGGAAGAGAGGTGGAGGGAGGCGGGAGGAAGGAGTGGAGACCGCAGTGCTCTATTCAAAACGAGTACCCAACGCAGGAGGGTTGGGAATAATAATGATAATAATAATGATAATACTACGAATATTAATAATCAAAATCATAACAAAGAGAGCGTGGCAGGCGGGCTTCTTCTGCCGCCGGTAGGGAGCTGCTGGCCGACAATATGCGCGAAGATAATTGTTAAGAGGGCCCGACGGGCAACCTCGAAGGACGGTAGCGATGGCGCAAGCCGCAGAACACGGGCACGCGAGCATTGCTCGTGGTCACGAATCGGGAGTGAGTAGAGGGCCCGACGGGCAACCTCACTTCAGGGCACGCACGTCTCGGTAATGATACGCCAGACTCGCGCAATTCAAAGACAGCCGGGCGGGCGAGCTTTTTCTTGCACCGGTAGGGAGCTGCAGGCCGACAGTATGCACGATGATCATTGTTAAGAGGGCCCGACGGGCAACCTCGAAGGACGGTAGCGACGGCGCAAGCCGCAGCGCCCTCCATGTCGAGGTCAAATATGAGTCTGCGGTGAGTACCCACTGTGCTAGGCCCCTCAGCAGCCCTCGAAAGTGGCGACAGTTTCGCAGATCGCAGCCCCACACAGGGATGACCAGGTAGGAGGCAAGCTGGCACGCAGCGACGAGCGAGGTACGATGCAGGAGGGGAGAGTAGAGGAGGAGGGGAGAAGGGAGGAGAGCGGAGAGGGGGCGGGAGAAGGAGGAGGAGGAGGAGACGCGACCGCACTGCTCTATTCAAAACGAGAACCCAACAGCCCCCCAGGGATGGCGAGGTCTAATCTGAATCTGCGGTGAGTACCCACTGTGCTGGGCCCCTCAGCAGCCCTCGAAATTGGCGACAATTCCACAAATCGCAGCCCCCCAGGGATGGCGAGGTCTAATCTGAATCTGCGGTGAGTACCCACTGTGCTGGGCCCCTTCAGCAGCCCTCGAAAGTGGCGACAGTTCCACAGATCGCAGCCCCCCAGGGATGGCGAGGTCTAATCTGAGTCTGCGGTGAGTACCCACTGTGCTGGGCCCCTCAGCAGCCCTCGAAAGTGGCGACAATTTCACAGATCGCAGCCCCCACAGGATGGCGAGGTCTAATCTGAATCTGCGGTGAGTACCCAGTGTGCTGGACCCCTCAGCAGCCCTCGAAAGTGGCGACAGTTTCGCAGATCGCAGCCCCCCAGGGATGGCGAGGTCTAATTTGAGTCTGCGGTGAGTACCCACTGTGCTGGGCTCCTCAGCAGCCCTCGAAAGTGGCGACAGTTCCACATATCGCAGCCCCCCAAGGATGGCGAGGTCTAATCCGAGTCTGCGGTGAGTACCCACTGTGCTGGGCCCCTCAGCGGCCCTCGAAAGTGGCGACAGCTTCACAGATCGCAGCCCCACAGGGATGGCGAGGTCTAATTTGAGTCTGCGGTGAGTACCCACTGTGCTGTGCCCCTCAGCAGCCCTCGAAAGTGGCGACAGTTTCACAGATCGCAACCCCCCAGGGATGGCGAGGTCTAATCTGGGTCTGCGGTGAGTACCCACTGTGCTGGACCCCTCACCAGCCCTCGAAAGTGGCGACAGTTTCACGGATCGCAGCCCCCCAGCGATGGCGAGGTCTAATCTGAAGCCCCGTAAGACGTCACTCTGCTCGCCCCACAGCAGCCCTCGAAAGTGGCGACAATTTCACAGATCGCAGCCACCCAGGGATGGCGAGGTGGAGGGAAGAGAAGAGCAAGGGAGGAGAGGAGGAGGGAAGATAGGAGAAGGGAAGCAAGAGAGGGGAGAGGAGGAGAGAAGAGAGGTGGAGGGAGGCGGGAGGAAGGAGTGGAGACCGCAGTGCTCTATTCAAAACGAGTACCCAACGCAGGAGGGTTGGGAAAAAACTACGCGGGGGGGGGTCTAATACTTTCAGGCCGCCATCGGGGGAAGAGGGAGAGTAGTATTCATATTGAGTAATTGTGGAAGAGGGGGAGGGGGGGGAGGGGGAGGGAGAGGAGGAGGAGACACCCCTGCGGCAACTCGTGGGAGCCTCCCACTGGCCACCGCTCGGACGCCCCTTCCCTGTGGTTTCGCCAAATGACCAAGGATGCTCCTCGATGGTCCTCGCCGAAGGAAACATGCACACGTCCGAGCGATGCAAAGCCCACGCCGTCTTGTCGGCTCTTGCGAAGCGACGCGGGTCGACGCCAATCGGCGCCACAGCGACGCTGCGTCGACGCACAGCGAACTGCACCTCGGCGCTCTCTCCCACCGACTGGCCAGACGCTGATTAATCGGCGCTCGTGCGCCCTGCCTCCGGAGGGAGGAGGGACGGGGGGAGGGCGGAGGAGGAGGAGGAGGAGGAGGGGGAGGAGGAGGAGGAGGAGGAGGAGGAGTAGTAGGAGGAGGAGGAGGAGGAGGAGGAGGAGGAGGAGGAGGAGGAGGGGTAGGAGGAGGGGGGGAGGAGGGGAGGAGGGGGAGGAGGGAGAGGAGAGGGGGGAGGAGGAGGAGGAGGAGGAGGAGGAGGAGGAGGAGGAGGAGGAGGAGGAGGAGGAGGAGGGGAGGAGGAGAGGAGGAGGAGGAGGAGGAGGAGGAGGAGGAGGAGGAGGAGGAGGAGGAGGAGGAGGAGGAGGAGGAGGAGGAGAGGAGGAGGAGAGGAGGAGGAGGAGGAGAGGAGGAGGAGGAGGAGGAGGAGAGGAGGAGGAGGAGGAGGAGAGGAGGGAGGAGGGGAGGAGGGGGGGGTCTTCATTGCTCAGCTGCTCCTGGAGCCTCGACACGCGGGACTCCTCTGCGGCCGCCTTCTCCGGGGGCGGGCGGCGGGGCCGACCGCGCCCCCCGGAGGCACGCAGGTGCGCCGCGGCCCTCCCCGGTTGGTCTGAGCGGGGGGGGGGGGGGGGGGGGCAGAGGCCGCAGATCGAGCTCTCGCGGTGCGGCGCGCCTCGCAGAGGTGCGGTGGAGGCGGGGGGGGGATCTTCGGGGGCGGCCAAAGAGGGGGGCGTCCAGGAGGGGGGGGCGCAAATCATGGCTGGCGGCATGCGCGCGGCCCACGGGGGGGACCAGGGACGCAACAAGAGGAGGCGCCATGAAACCTGGGGAGAACTCATGGCCAACGCCATGAGATCCCCCCCTAGCCATCACCCCCCTCTTTGCTGCCCCCGAGATCTGGCTCCCTGACAAGTTGTCCCCGTGCTCTTGCGTGGTAGCCTTCTCGCATGACAATTCGTTCTGCATGTGCCTTTGCTCTGTGTCATGTGCCTAGGCGCTGTTGAAGAAAAGCGTTGCTAGGTCGCCTAAGTCGGCTTCGTGGCTTGGGACCCGTGGAGAAGATTAGAAGCAGATGTGTATACATACAGATACAGATGCATAGATCAGCTGCCCGGATGGATGGCAGTTCCTTTTCAACATGCTTGTTCTCGCCTGGGACTCCCTAGGAGCTCATGTCCGAATTGGTGACCATGTTCCACAAGTTACACAGATGTACACAGATGGTAGCGGACCTTTTTCAAAATGGACATTCGCTTGACATCTCATTGACGTGTACGATCATATTGTTTCAGATTGCCTTGTACCCGCTGAAAGGATGTACGGCACGGCACTTCCTTTTCAAAACGGGGCTCTTGCCTGACGGGCAGGCGCATGGGGAGCTGGTCATTCAATGGGGAATTCTTGTAGTGGAAAGGAAGGCCTGAATGGACTTACGAGGAAGCGGCTTGGAACGGAAGGAAGTGCCTTCCACGCAAACAACTAGACAAGGCAGAACGACAAATCCGCTGCCCGACAAGAAAGCTATGCCCGTCAAAGACGCTGCCCGTCTTGACGCACGAACAAAGCGAGACAAGTCCACTGTAAACCGGACGAAGTCAAACGCATCGCGATGGGAAGAACTCCCTTCTGCTTCTCCTCCTCCTCCTCCTCCTCCCTCCGTTTCCTCTCCTCCTATTCCTCCCTCCTGCCTCATCCTCATCCTCTCTCCTCCTTTCCCCTCTACCCTCCTTCCTCCCCTCCTCCATCTTCCCCCTGACGACAAACCCGACCCAAACCCCGTCCCCGACCCCGACCCCGACGTCGATGACGACGACGACGACGACGACGACGACGACGACGACGACGACGACGACGACGACGACGACGACGACGACGACGACCACGACGCCGACGCCGCCGCCGCCGCCGCCGACGCCGCCGACGCCGCCGCCGCCGCCGACGACGACGGCGACGGCGACGACCCCGACCCCAACCCCGACCCCGACGACGACGACGACGACGACGTCGACGTCGAGGGTCGACGACGGCTGTGGCGGCGGCGGCCAAGGGCGCGAGCTCTGGCCCTCCTGCTCCTCCTGCTCCTCGCCGAGGGCCAGGATGCGCGCCCGCAGCGACGTGAGGAGGTCGCCGCCGTCCTGGCGGGCCCTCATTATATCGTGCCCCGGTGGCTGCGGAGTTCCCTGGGCGCTTGGCTCTCCAGCTGCTGCTCGGGCCTCCATCCGCGTGCCTGCCCGAGCCAGGTTCGGCCTTCCCGTCGGCCACGCCATGCGCGCAGGGTCGCTTGAAGGGCGCGCTTGTGCAGGTCGGGTCCGACCGCCGGTGCGCTGCATGGGATGCAACGCCGGCAAAAGAGGTACGCACATGGCGCACGCAGTGTAGCGGCACAAGACGAGCTTCCCAGGCGTGTGTCCCGAGGTCAGCTCCCTACTGACTCCCTCGCGTCGTGCTCCTAAAACTTGCAGGGGCTATCGCTTGTGCTTTGCGGTTTTCTCGCCCCGGGACGCGCTCCAGCAGCTGCGCCTTGTCGAGGTACTCGAATCGTCCCGAACGACCTCCCGAGGCCCGAGTTATGGACCGAAAGTCGGCCGCCCTAGTTGCTCCTCCTAACGGGTGACGATGAAGAGAAAGCGCACACAGGGAATGATTAAACATTTTACCCTCAGCAGCAGAAGGCCCCAAACACTTGTTGAATACTACGGGGAGCACTGCATAATAGCTAGAGTACGACTGGCTTGTGCATACAACCTATAACTCTAATCCGACACCGTGTCCTGAGCCACGAGTTGGAGTGTTCCCATGTCCCTTCAAATTCTCCGAGCTGAGTGCGGTAAGTATTGCAATAGAGGCCGAGAGCCCCGATTCCCAAATCTCGTGGGCGCTCTTGGGCGCTCCTAAGGTCAGGAGGCCGAGAGCCCCAATCCCCAAATGCGGGCCAAGAGGGCCCCAGAAGCCCCCGAGACGGTCCAAGATGGCTCCGAGTCGCCCAAAGATCGCGCAGGACGCCCAAGATGGCCCATAGACGACCCAAGAAGACCACAAGACGCCCCAAGGGGGCTTCAAAAGGGCTTCAAGATGCCCCGCAAGAGAGATGGTCCCGAGCTCGAACTATTGAACTCCAATTGGTCCTTGAAGGATTAAATGCTCTCGCCTTTTCGGGCTTTCGACGCTCCAAGACGGCCCAAGAGGCCTCCAAGGATCGCTCCAAGACGGCCCCCGAGGCACCGAAGAGCGACCCCAGACAACCCACGATGGCCCCACGATGGCCCAAGAGGCCCCCAAGGCGGCCCAATAAGGCCCCAAGGACGGCCGCAGAGAGGCCCCAGAAGGGGGAATACGAACTGACATTTCGAGCCCTTCGCCCCAGGATGGCGTCCCACAAGCTCTGGGAGGCCCTGCGAGAGGTCCGAATCAGGCCCCAAGAGGTCCCAAAGAGACTGCGATAGACCCCCAAGAAACCCCAAAACCGAATCCACGACGCTTCCGAGAGGCCCCCCAATAGATTCGCACAGGCATCCCAGAGGCCTCCATCCGGCACAGTGGCGGGGTGTGTCGAAGGCCACACTAGATCTGCCGCCCCCCTTCTGGTCTTGCCACGACGGTGCCTGGCGTGCTACATGTCTATGACTTGTTTGGTTCTTGTCTAAAGAACTCCACCAAGGGCTTCGGCCCAGCCCGCCGGCCACCCGGAAAGCCAAGGAACACCCACTCCTTATTGCTCAAATCGCGTCCAAGATGGCCAAGATGCCCTCGAGATGACCTCCCAGATGCCTCCAAGACGGGCGAGATGGCCAAACTAGATCCCAAGATAGCTCCAATATGGCCTCCAAGACGGTCCCAAGACGCCTCCAAGACCGCCAAGATGGTCCAAGAGAGCCCAACAAGGTTCAATAAGCCCGACGGCCCAGGAGGCCTCCAAGGGGTCCTCCAGGAAAGCCCTAAGAGGCCAACATCGTTGATTTACCGTAGGTCTTTGAAGGATTTCGGCTTTGGCTTCAAAGCGGCGTTCCGACGGCCCAAGACAGCCCCAAAGGCCACCAAGACTGCGCCAAGATCATCCAAGAGGCCTCCAAGATGGCCCCAGGACGGCCCAAGGGGCTCCCAAGACGCCCAAGATGGCCTCCAAGACGACCCTGAAGCAGCGTCCCAAGAGGGCCTCAAGACGACCCATGCACCCATGGAGGCTCCCAAGACGGCTTCCGACGGCGTCAAACGGGCCAGGAACGCCGCAAGACGGCCAAAGGCCCGAAAGAAGCTCCCACGGGGCACAAGGATGCCCCAAAGAGGCCTCCAGGAAGTTTCCAGGAGGTCTCCTCATCCTTCTCCTCCTCCTCCGCCTCCTCCTTTTCCCTCCGTCTCCTCCTCCTCATCTTCGCCCCCTTGGTGTTCCCCGAAAGGCTTCCACAACGGCTGGGGGAACGCATGGTCCAATAGCGTGGCCGAACTTTGCCCAGACGTTTGGCCACATAGGCTATTATGAGAGGCAGGGGGCGACGGTGATTCGCCGTATGCGTCTTCGATCCGCCGCCCCGCTGTGGCTTGCCACAGGGGTGCATGGCGTGCCAAACGTCTGGCAAATTTTTGGTTCTTCTCTGAAGAACTCAGCGTGGGTCTTCGGCCCAGCCCGCCGGCCACCCACAAAACGTACCTCCCGTCGGCTTGTTCGCCCAGAATGGCCTCAAGATGGCCTCCAAGACGACCATGATGGCCTCCCACACGGCCAAGATCACCCCAATAGAGCCCAAGCTGGCCGACAAATGATGCCAAGACGGCCCAAGATGCACTCTCGATGGCCTCAAGATGGCCCAAGACGGCCAAAGAAGCTCCCGAGAGGCCTCCAAGATGGCACAAAAGGCCTCCAAGAGGACCTATAGGAAAACTCGAAGAGGTCTAAGTCATTGATCTTCCGTTGATTGCGTAAATGATGTTGGCTTTTGCGCCATGTTGCGCCATTTCGGCTTTCCGACAGCCCAAAGCAGCCCGAAAGGCCTCCAAGATCACCCAAGAGGCCTCCAATATGGCCCCACGATGGCCCACGAGGCCACACGACGCCCCCAAGAAGGCCCGAAGACGCCCCAAGAGGCGTCCGAGACGTCCAAGATGGCCTCCAAGGCACCTCTTCAGCGCTCCAAGAGGGTCCCAGATGGCAGCAGCACGTCTCCAAGACGGCCCGAGATGCGGCCAAGACGGCCCCAGCTGGCCTCCAGGTGGCCCAGGACGGCCCACGAGGACCCCAATGAGGCCCCCGAGACAGCCCAAGAGGCCTCCGAGAGGTCCTCCGGGAAGGCCCGAAGAGGCCCACGTCATCGTTCGCCCAACGCGTGTGTGAAAGATTGCCGCGTTTGCTCACGCTTGGCCCTCCGACCTCCGACGGCCCAGGCCGGCTCGAGGGGCCTCCAAGATCGCCCCGCGATCACCCGAGAGGCCGCCAAGATGGCCCCCAGAGGGCCCACAGACGGCCCGAGGAACCCCCCCAGATGCTCAGGATGACCTCCAAGACGGCCAACATGGGCCCACGGGACCCTACGATAGCCGCAAGACGCCTCCGCGACTGTCCAGCATGCGGCCAAGACGGCCTTGGATGGTCTCGAGCGGCCCCAAGACGGCCCAAGAGGCCCCCGAGAAGCCTCCGAGACGTCCTCCAGGAAGGCCCGACGAGGTAAAACTCTATAATCTTCCTAAGGTGTTGGAGAGATTGTGGCGTGTGCGGATTTCCAGCGCTCCTACGACCCAAAACAGCCCCAAAGGTTATGTTGCCCCCATCGCACTTAAGGGCCACATTATTCTGGTGCTCGAAATTATTTCTGGTGATCCAGGCTAAAGTAGGTTGGAACATCATAACCCAAAGGCCACCAAGATTCCCCAAAGGGTGCCCAAGAAGCCTCCAATATGCCTCCCCCTGCCGACCTATGAAGCCCCCGAGACTACTCCAGGAGGGCCGCTGGCGGCCCAGGAGACCCCCAAGACGCCCGAGATGGTCTCCACGACGGCCTGGAGGAGGAGGAGGAGGAGGAGGAGGAGGAGGAGGAGGAGGAGGAGGAGGAGGAGGAGGAGGAGGAGGAGGAGGACCCAAGTCGGCCAAGAGACGCCGGCAAGACTGCTTCCGATGGCGTCAGACGGACCAGGACCGCCCCAAGACGGCCAAAGAATCTCCCCAGGAGCCTTTAAAGGCCTCCAAAGGGGCCAAGGGATCTCCCAAGAGGCCCCCAGGAGGCCACAAGAGTGTCTCAAGAGTGCCCTAAGAGGCCTCTCCCTCCTGCTCCTTCTCCTCCTCCTCCTCCTCCTCCTCATACTTGTTCCTTCCTCTCCTCCTCTTGTTCTTTCTCCCCCTCGTGTTTTCCGAAGCGTTTTCATCACGGCTGGGGGAGCACATAGTCCGATGGCTTGATCGAGCTCTGGCCGCAATTTTCGGACACATAGGCTTTTTCAAAAGGCAGGGGGCGGTGGTGATTCGCCGCAAGCGTCTTCGACACCTCAAAACAACTACCTATCTCCCATGCTCGGAACTGTTCCTGGCCTGGCCGGGGATTTTTCGATACCCCAATCAGTGCTTGTACTGAAGGGGTTCTAGCGAATCTTGAAAGATTTGGCGAAAGTTGGCGGCCGATTTCGGTGGGCAGCCGGGTTCCAAAATTCCCGGTTCTGGGTTCCTGGCTTCCCGGTTGCTGGTTCTGGGCCGATTTCGGTGGGCGGCGGGGTTTCCGGGCTTCCTGGTTCCCAAGTTCCTGGTCGATATCCTTATCAAAAGGTCTTAACATCGATCTCATTACCCACGATCGATCGCACAATCGACCTCACTATCGATGTCACAATCGATCTCACTACAGATAGCTAGAGCGATCGCACGATCGATCTCACTGAATCGGTTTCACTATCGGTCTCACGATTGACCTTACTATCGTCCTTACCCTCGATCCCTACCATCGATATCACAATCGATCTCAATATCCAAAACCTCTACTTTCCAAACCATTCAATGATTGGGGTTTCTCTCTGGTATAATGTTCTCCCTTGTCTGAGGGAACGAACGCTCGTCCGACCTTCGAAAACATACATCTGTGATCTGCCGCATCCTGCCCGGGCACGACCCGTTGTAAATTATGGCATGCGGCTGACACGTTTCCCAACAAGAAATGGG